TTNAAAAAAAACTAGATGTGTTTAATGCGTTAAACCATTCGGGCCCGGATTGCCCTATTGGAGTCCCGAACACTTATCGAGACGCAGCCCCTTAAAAAAGAATTGCACGTTTGTATTTACACTACGTCCACTACCATTCGTTGGATGAGAAGACAGGCAGACCGACCCTTTAAGTTCAAGGGAGCCATTACAGCCTTCAAGGGTGGGCTGAGGGTGTGTGTGTTTGTGTGTTACAGCCCCCTCCTGCCCCCTCTGATCTCAAGTCCCTCTTCATAACAGTAATGGGTGAGCTGGAGAGCCCACATACGTACAGAAAAGTGCTTCCACATACACACAAGGCTACAGCACTGCTGGATTAACATCAACCATAACAAAAAGGGACTCTTCCCTACCTCCAGCAATTTATCTCCACGCATTGTACACACAATACTTCCCTCAGAGAGGGCGAGAAACTGTCCAGTTAACATTACGAAAACTACAAGAGTTACACCAGAAATATATATAGTCTGCAAAGCTTCACTGTAGAAGCGTGTAATTCACCGTGTGATCGTTCATTACTGCCTCAAAACATCAGTCCAGAGAGCTTACGGCTCCCGACCCGTCAGAATTGGCAGCGTCCCGATCAGACGGCTAAAAATAACTGCACTTGTGAGCTTACAATTCACACAGAACGAGGACACGAGAGAGACAGAGAGGAAAAAGGAGAATATTACGGTCAGCTACATAAAGTCAAAAAACTTGCTGCGAGCAATCTGCGAAATCTTTTGGTATACAAACAGTGAATTTAAAAAAAAGCGCTTTTTTCTTTACTCCTATATCCAACCACACCGTTAAATGCAATTTTGCGAACCCACAGAGATCTGGAAATAAATGTTTGCAGAACAGATTTATAATCAAATTAGGGGAATGTTTACAGCTCCCCTCTCCTGGATTCCTCACACCCTATAGTGTAAACTGTTCACCTTGACCTTATGGTTAGCAGGCGATTTGTTAGTCAGGCACTCTGTGCGCGCGCGTGTGTGTGCGTGGGTAAAATCATGGGCGGTTAACAGAAAATATTCATCCTATGTACAAAGCAGAGCTCACTGCAACCTTGGAATTGCTAGGCAGAAAGCTGTTCTCTTTCCGAGGAGCTTGGCTGCCGTTAGCATCTATTAAAAAAATTATTCCCCTCTCTGCCTCTCCCCTCTCCTCAATTTATGTGGGTGTTTACAATTTTTTTTTGTGCCAAAGAGTCCTGGGAGAGCACCGCAGTCTCGCTCGACTTCATTGGGAACATATTAAAGCTAGACCACCATCATTTTGTTTTAAAAAAAAATCAAAGTTTACAAATACAGCCCCTTACACCATTGATAAAGATGTGTGAGGAGCCGGCAAGCAAGAGTTTGTGATCACTGTGAATTCTGGACCAGGTGCATTGAGTTTCTGCTTCAAAAGAAACTTGTGCAGCAACACTCCCATTCTGCCCTGGTCAGAAGGCTCCCGTGCGTTTGCTAACTAAGCTAGTGTTAATATAACCAGCCGATTAACTAGTAACAATATAGTCAGTTCAACCCTACAGCAGTCAACCCTTCTCTGAAGTCGATCACAATGCAGGTTACAACATGGGGGCCTGTGGAGAAAGGCCAACCTGCCTTCAAGACTCACATAGAAGGGAATGGTCTGAGTACACAGTCGGAGGAGCACACAGTTGAATGAACGAGTTGTGGTCGCAATAAATAAATAAACTACTCGGGACAATTATTCCTGATTTTGCTTCTTGTAGTAGTTTGATTATGAACAACTTCAGGGGGGCTGTGGGCAGGGGGAGTGTGGGCAGCGGGTGTGTGTGTGTGTGTGTGTGTGTGCGCGGGAGGGGGTGTGTGTGTGTGGGGAGAAGGGAGGTTAATGAAGTACTCCAGAAACCAATGGCTTGATGCACCTTTGGGAAGGGAAACTGTTAAAGAAAAGCACCATCGAGAAAAAAGAATGATACAACATGAGCCCCCTCGGTGAGCATGTCCTCACAGGCGGCTTAAAACAAGCACCAAGTAGAACAGTTCTGTGTGTGTGTGTGTTTTTTTTTACATAAACAAAATGAACCTTAATTGCCTCCAAATAAATGCCGTTTGCTTGCTTGCAATGATCGAGCGCACATTAAATCAAGACTCCAAAAATTATAGATCCCAAATTCTTGATCTGTGCACGTGTTTTTTTTAAAAAAAGACATTCAATCCCACGTGTTTAACACACAAGGTGGGTTCTGATTCCCCTAAAGCTCTCAAACCTGCAGAGATGTGGTTTGTATGCAATACCAACTTGTTTTAGGCCCCTGTATGGATACAAGTGGATCAAAAAAATCTGAATGATTAAAAGCACAGTATAAAGAAACATTTAAAAAAAAGCCACAGAGAGTGATAACATTTGGTAGGCTTCACAGAAACCCATCTCCTCCTATCAGTTAAATATTGCCCAGATCTACTGGGAGGGAGGTGATTGAGGTGGGGGCGGGTGGGACAGAGAGACAAGAGGAGGCACTAAAACTGAAACGTTCCCACATTTTGGACTTGAGCAGACGTTTAGGAACTGCTGCACTCAACCTTCCCAATTACCAATCCAGTCTTTGGAAAATCTCTTTAAAAAAAATATATGCACAGCAGAGGATATGATCTTGCACCAAAGTGAAAGCGCCATCCCAACCCTTCCCTCCTCATACACAGACAGATACAGTCTAGAGATCCTGATTGATCCCAATTTGGGCCTGCTGTCCTCCATGTCAAAATCCCTTCCAAAAGGCCACGAATGTATAATAATGAGCACATCTGGAAACGTGCACTCTCTTGCCTTCTGGAAGCCCCATCGTTGCTGTTTTGGCATCAAGTAAACAACAGACTAACTCAATCAAGGGTGTTTCACCAGTACCGACAATCAGGCCAGACTCCTATGCTAATCGTGCAGAGATCGAATGCGTTAGCCTTCAACCACTCAGTCACACTGCACCAAATCCAAGTCAACCCAAGGTTCGATTGCTAGCTATTTGAAACGGGTGCCAGAAATGAGCTTCAAAAGATACACCATGAACTAGTAATAGAGCCTAAAAAAATCAAATCACGGCACTTAATAAATCTATGATGAACAATTTCTTTGTTGCAGTAGAGTGAGGCTGCTCTCTCCTCATACAGACCCAGATTTTTATACGTAGATTGCAATATTTTTATTCCCTTAGGATTTTTTAAAAAAAAGGCACTAAAATATCTCCCAAAGCTAATGCATCTGGTGGGTTCAGGGCTAAATCCGCGCCTCTTCCCAGCACAAGTAAGAGTGCGACGGTCTATTAAGCTGAGCAATTTAGCACAACCCCTCCGGTCCAAACGGCCCCCCATTCCTAAAAGATGAGTTTTCCGACGAATATACTTATTCTGAAAGTTTTTTTTGGAATAGAAAAAACAACTACATTGCACAACAAGTTTTCGAACGCAGGAGTGTATAAACAGTTCCTCCTCCACACACCTCCTATCCTCCTCCCCCGTCCACCCAAACACACAGCAGGTCCACAACACGGCGTACCTGCGCTCGTACTGTGCACGTTGCACTCCCGATTAATGCAGGAAACATCAACGCAACCTTCGTGGGATGCAACGAGGTTGGAATTGTGGAACGGGATCACGGGTAAGAATTCGGGAGCTCTCAAACGGAGAGGGTTTCTGGCAATTACAACAGATTTTCGAGCCGAGTCACTGGTGGGCAGCCACAAAGTTCATTGTTTGGGAAAGTCCCAAAAATATTTTGGAATAAAAAAATTTGCGACACACACCCTTTGCATTTCAAATCAGGTGGATTTTCTTTTGGCCTTAATATTCATTCACTTGGGAACTATAATAGTAGAGCAGTGTCTTTACTAAAACCATTAATGGGAGTGTCACAGGGTAGTGCGAGTTCAGCAAACAGTGGTGAGGTTTTGGTGTGTGTGTGTGGGGTAACCAAGATGGGTTCTGAGTTACCCGCGACTCTGAAGCAAGACAGAGTTTCAATATAAACCGTAAACCTTTTTTTTGGTCTATTTAGGCTTGTCAAATATATCAAAAATAAAAAGATTCACACACAGGTACAAATATGTCTTAAATATTCCAGTCTTTGCAAGAAGATTCTTGTGCATACACAATGTGCAATAACATTTAACTTTTTTTTCCCAGCATTACTTTTATACAAGACTAAGTGTTATATGACTTTGAAAGTTTTTTGTGGTGGGGGGGGGAAAAACCAAAACATAGGAGGGGATTGGTTTCCGATATATTCTCTGTGAAACTGAGGAATGTCTACGGCCCTCAAAGCTCGGCAAAAGCCAGGCTACATCACCAGAGCGTTGCACAATGAACGGATATTGTTTGGGGAAGAGTGAATCAAGACTTCAGAGCGGTTATAACCATAGTGTTATTCTCAAGGAGATCGCCTGATCTCCACAGTGCACCAAAAGCAAAAAGGTTTGAAAAATTATCCTTCCCCTTTTTCTTTTATTTTGAAGATTTTCTTTCTCTCTTGTGTAAAAAAAACGCTCCCATCCCAGTCCCCTCCTCTCTCGGGACAACGAGTTTGGCTCAAAGACTTGCCACACACTCTCTTGCAGATCCAAATGACTAACTAACTGGTAGCTGAAGAGTTATGAACAAGTGCACTTGAAACAAACACTTTGACCCATTAGAATTGGTTTTCTGTGTGAGGGGAGGACTGGAAGAGAGCGCGAGGAGAGAGAGAGAAAGCCATTTGTATTTTGAAGAATTTAGTGAGAGGGACATTGAAGGTGCCATCTTTCTATATTGCACAGACCAACACCTACTATAGCCCACAGTGAACAGAGTTTAAAGGATGGGAACTAGGATCACCTAGTTATCGGAAACATTAATTCTGCAAATCCACAGTTTGTTTTTCAATAAATAAAAGTAACACTGAAAGCTCAAATGAGATTAATTGATTAATTTCATTAATTGAAAGCTCCAATTAATGAAAACACAAATGGCTTTGTGGAGTGGCGCTATACAAAACCCTCTAGTTCAGTAAAAAATAAATAAGTTTGAAGGTTAAAAATAAAGAAGCAGAGTGGTTCTGTAAAGTGGAAGCAAAGACAAGACTTGCAGCATTTGCCCAGTGCCTGGCACAGTCCAGTTCAATCCTCGTTTTCTTCATAAGTAGTTTCGTCGAAGGAACGGTCTATTAGGGGCACCAACTTGTGCCGAGAGTATTTCAACTGCAGCAAGTCACCAACTTCATCTATTACTTTTAAAGCCTAAAGGAATAGAAAGGGAACAAGATTATTCATTAGGAAATAAATCCACACACTCAGCTGGGCAATAATAATAGAATAATAATTGCATTTGAGATTTTTTTTGGTCAGCTGGGTGTCTGCCGCAAGTGTAAACTCATCACCATGCTTAAGAGAATCCAAACCAAACTGAGAATTCCATGCATCTCATCTACATGTGGAAATCTGAGCGGTAGATTATTGGAATGGAATGCACTCTCTCGCTCCCTGGAGGGATGCATCCTGCTTACCTAATTCCGGAAAGTATTGGGCTGGCAAGAGCCAAGGCTTGGGAGTTTTTTGTGGGGACGGGGGAGAGAGGGGTAAATGTTGGAGCTAAAACCTGCATAGTTTGCCATTCTGTCTGGCATTTGATATAGCGCCTGATCATGTCGATGAGACGTCTCAAAGCGCTTCACAGAATATATTGTAAAGTGGATTGACTGTATATTTGATGGGGTGCATGTACAAGCATATTTAAAGTCGTGTTTTAAAACTAATTCAAAGGGGTAGCCGCTGACTGAATAGGTTGCTTCATCAGACTTTGCCTATTGGAAGCTTCCTCTCACTGCCCTCTGCCCCTAGCAAAACAGCAAATCAACTGTTAAATGTCCCTGGCAAACCCATTAACACAGCCTATGCTTTTCTAACAACTTGCTGATTGAACGTCTTAGCCCAAGCAAATGTACAAGTGGCAGTACCATTGAATATAAAACACAGGAGGCGGGCGGCCATTCAAGCTATACGCCGACTCTCTGAAGGAGCTACCCATTTAGCTGTGCCCTTTCCCCTTTCCCTTTTATATTTTTCTTCATAAAGTATTTGTCCAATTCCCTCTTTAAAAGCTATTGTTCATTTATCTTGAGTAGGTTTGTATCTCTCACTGGTGGGCAGCCAAAAAGCTTTGTGAATCCTGGTGTTAAGTGGCAGCAGATGAGGGCATAAGAGTTCATGCAAGGCATTCAGCAGGCAATTTCACCTTCTTGGGAATAGAGTATTTCATGGAAGTCGGGTCTGACATGTTGAAATGCCTCAATTTACACTGGCGTTGATACCACAAGAGAAGGCAGATGTACAACATGTCGTGTTCTCTATAACAAAGTGATTGGGGTGCATCATAAATTTGCAACAAAACGCCATCAATTTGCAACAACAACTTGCATTTACACAGCGCCCCTCACGCAGGGTAGTGTCCCAGGGCGCTTGACTGTAGCCGAGCATGAGGCTGAGCCGGGGGTAGGGAGGTGACCGCAGGCACGGTTGAAGAGGAAGGTCTTCAGGCGTGGCCTGACGATGGGGAAGGAAGGGGTCAGGCGGAGGGTTAGTGGAAGAGTATTCCAATGTTTCGAGGCGCAGTGGCTGAAAGCGCGGCCACCGATGGAATGGAGGGCACGAGAGGTGTGCAGGAGGTCGGAGCCTGTCGAGCGGAGGCAGTGGATTGTCGGGTAAGCAGATTGGAGAGGTAGGGAGGTGCTGGGGTGGGGCATGAAGGACTCGAAAACATGTGAAGAGCTTGAAATCGATCCATTTGGTGACGGGGAGCCAGTGGAGTCCGGTTAGAACTGGTGTGATTGGGTTACAGAGTTTATGACGGGTAAACAATCTCAAGCCATTCACAGGAAATCAAATTTAAGATTATTAAGACATTTAAAGCCTTGCATTTTGTAGCACCTTCAAACGTTCCAAGAGGTCTCGCAAGTAATTGCGATTAATTACAATGATTATCTGCAGACAATTGCCACAGTCAAGGTCCCAAAAACCACCTACATGAGAATAACCATTTAATTAGGAGGACTGTTGGACTGGAGACTGCGAGAAACTCCCTTCTTTTTGAAGCCCACAGGTCTTTCAGACCATCTGAATGTAGCACTCGAGTACAAGCTTAAGACTTAAGTGCCAATGATGGGCTTGAACCTACAACCTTTTGATCTGTCGGTGGGGGTGCCAACAACTGAGCAAAGCTGACATCAATACAATCACGTGGGTACAATGGCCGAGTTGCTTCATACTAAGAACAAGATTTCTGCAAGATCTGGTCAATCTTCTTGGTAACCGTAATGGGGAGCAGCATTTAGGGCGAAACGTTGGGAAAGTTTCCTTACTCCACAGGCTTCTGTTCACCTAACAGCAAGTGGGAACCCGGTTGTTAGTCGATTGTCAGATCGCTTTTCCGGAGGTAATAAACCCTTCAAAAAAATAATGATAATAATTTGGTCACTCAATCCACGACTGTTTGTGGGACACTGCTGTACACAATTGGCTGCTGTGTTTCGCCCACAAAATATACACGGTATATCCTGCGAAGTGCTTTGAGACGTCTCAAAGGCATGATAAGGCGCTGTATCAAATACAAGGATTATTATTGTAAAGTGGAGTGAGTGTATTTTGTACAACTGCTGCTCCCAACAGAAGGAAAGTCACAAAATAAAATTGTTCAAAGTTTTGGTATAATGCACGCTGCTCTTCAGCTGAAAGATCTGCCCATTACATCTTTGGACAATTACAGAGTTCATTAGATGAATAGTGAAACCTTACCGTTAATACTTAAAAGCCCAAATCCAAGCTGTGTAACGGGAGACACCCTGGAGATTAAGTTGCCGCAGCCCATGTGGAACTGATTTTTGTTATTTTGTTTAAATAAAAATGCAAAGAGTTTTACGAACTCCAGGATATAATGGGCTTTCTAATTTAAATTACCATATCATTGCAGAAACTACAGAGAAGATATTATTCAGGCAGGCACACATAGACGCACACATAGACACACACACACACACGCACCACTTTATGAATACTGCTAATAGATTTTCAATGTCGTTATGGTACTGCGAACCTTGGGGAATTGAAGATTACTTGATACTTGCAACTTTCATCTTGCGCCAAAAATCTCAGGCCTGGAAAGTTGATTTAGATAAGTATTTAGTTAGGTAAGTATTACAAAAAGTCACAGCTGAAAAATTGAGTTCAGGTTTTAACCCTTTCATTCAGCTGAAATTCCTTTCAAACCACAATATAAAAAAAAATATTGTTTATGGGGGGGTGGGGGTGGGGGGGAGGGGGCGCAGGGAGAAGAAAGATGGTTGTCAACACTGCCTGCAGTGAACACTAAAAGGAGCTGGACTTGCAGCAGGTTGTAACTGAGAGTTTGTGTCTAACAATAGTAATCCTTATGCCTTATCACTTCTTCGAAACGTCTCAAAGCGCTTCACGGAATGAACGGTAAAGTGGATTGACTGTACTTTGTGGGCGAAATGTGGCAGCCAATTGCGCGCAGTAGCGTCCCACAAACAGTCGAGGATTGAGCAATTAAAATTATTATTGTTTTTTTAAAAAAAGTAACCATTAATTTAATAACCATCGCTTGCAATTTAACAAGGGTTAAAGTACATTTGCCTCGAGGCAAAAAGGGTCCAATTCTCTAAGATTTTCAATTTTCCACAAGGGATTTGGGGCGTTTTCTTCCACAGACTTTACCTTACAACTCCCTGGCAGGGAAAGCCCCATCATCATTTTTTTTTGACTCATTACACAGGAATACTAACCAAATCCCAGAAAAGCCACAGGATATGCGCAATGCAAAAATTAAACAGAGAAAAAAAAACCTCAACGCGGATTAGATTCCAATATAAAGTACAAAATAAATACAGGAACCTCAAAACATGGTTGACCATTTTGGTGATCCTTAAAACACAATGTTTTTCGCAACTTTAAAAGGCTTGGTGCTAAATTGGGAGAATTCATTCTGCTGACTCCCAACGTATCTCCCCCATCACCTCAGACACCTTTCTTTCTACTGAGGTGTCGAAAATACAATTGATTTATACAGTATGTAGTCGGGAGGAATCAATTGGTACGCTCTGATATCTCTCTCACCCATTATTATGTATGTGTGAGCTTTGGCAGTGAGTGCGAGCTGGCTATTCCACTGCAGGCAAGTCAAGCGGAAAAGCACAACCTGGTTGTTATCCAATGCTCTCACCCATGCACTGTCCACACATGTTAAATCATGGTCTCGTTTAATAATAATCCCTGCATTTGATATAGCGCCGCCTTATCACATCTTCGAGACGTCTCAAAGCGCTTCGCAGAATATACTGTAAAGTGTGGTGACTGTATATTTGAGGGCGAAACGCGACAGCCAATTGCGCACAGTGTCCCATAAACAGTCGTGGATTGAAGCGACCAATTTATTATTAGTACTTTTTGAAGGAATTATGACCCGTGGGAAAGTGATCCACCAATCGATTAACAACCAGCTTCCTTCTTACCGCTAGGTAAACAGGTGTGTGGAGTGAGGAAACTTGCCCAACATTTCGTCCTGCCCGGGGAATCGAACCCAGGTCTCTCGTCTGCAAAGCGAGCATTCTAACCACAGAGCTACAGGACACCACATTTGTAAAGTCACCGTTCAAAATGAGCGGCTCTTTCTCTGGTTCTACCTAATAATCCTCCAGATAAAGCTCGACTTCACATCCTGGCAGTTTGTGGGACGTTGCTGTGCACAAATGGTTGCCAAAAAACATTCTCTACACTTCACAGTAATTACTGCAAAGCACTTTGAGACATTTGAATGTGATAAGGTGCTGTAAAATGCACACTTTCTTTCTTCTTTATTATTTCCAGATGTGGGTTAAGAAGCACTAATCTAACTTGGGGGTGGGGGGTGGGGTGGGGGAGGGAAACATTTCAAGTTACTCATTACTTGGCTGGTACTCTTAAAAAATAATTAAATGTTTAGCAAGTTAAAAATACCAAACATTTGAAGTGAGTGCGCTCACTAAGACGAGTGAAACCTACCCTTCATTCCTCTTAGAAAGCAGCCATTCAGTCCTGTTTGCATTTCAAGCGCTCTGGGACCCTACCCCTCATGAAGGGCGCTATATAAATGCAAGTTGGTGTTGTAGCGTAGAATAATAATACTTGCATTTGATATAGTGCTTTTCACGTCTTCTAGACGTCTCAAAGCGCTTCACAGAATATAAAGTGAATTGACTGTATATTTGTGGGCGAAATGCGGCAGCCAATTGCGCACAGCAGTGTCCCACAAACAGTCGTAGATTGAAGTGACTAATTTATTATTATATTTTTCTCTTGAGGGATTATTATCAGGCGTGTGGAGTAAGGAAACTTGCCCAAGATTTTGCCCTGCCGGGAATCGAACCCAGGTCTCTCGCCTGACAGGCGAGTGCTCAAACCACAGCATACCCAGGCGATAGCCTGCGAAGAGCTTCAATAGACAACAAAGTGTCAAGAAGTTGAGCAATGAAGAATTGGGGAGACTCAAAGCTGGAAAGCACCTCACACCTGGCTAGTAGGTGAGTGAGGAGTTGAGCTACAGATCAGCCATGATCTGATAGAATGGCGGAACAGGCTCAAGAAGCTGAGCGGCCTGTTCCTGGGCCTATGCTCCCAGCTCTGCATTAACAGTTCCCAGTTCTGTTGGTGGAAAAACCCTAAAAAAAAACTGACCCATCACTCACTCACTGATCAAAGTTTTTAAACTCAGTCTATACAAAATACACACACACACACAGGCAAGGATGCAAAGACAACTTTTGGCGTATCAGTTATCAAAGGCAGACTGTACGGAAAGCAACTTGTGAAACTGGGCAAAATGTGGCCAAGGCATTCCGGTTATTGAGCTAAGTACATGTGGATGGATGAAAGACAAAGTGTAACATAAATCCCTCACTTCCCAGCAGCAATGGGGGATTAAAAACAGAAGTGCAACATTAAGCTGTCAAACCCACTACACCATACCCAAATAAAAGGTTGTTGCTATATTGCTGAGGAATCTCACTGCATCATTTATCAGGTGCTGGGCACTCGAAATCAGTGCAAAGAGCCCGAGGCAACTGTGCCTTTGGCTGTGTTGCAGGGCAAACAGACATAGAAAAATATTTTGTGCGTGGCATTGCAAAGCAAACAAACAAAAAAAGAAAGCTTGAAGTTAATGTGCCTTGCTTCAGTTATAGACTTTGATCACTTAGATATAAACTGGGCCAATAGAAAAATGCGGAATTTGCTACAAACCTTCCATAAATGCAGTTTCCGGCCCAGAAAAATGGGCTTCACTGATTGTTTGTGTGTCTCCGTGCACGTTTGTGTCTGTGAGTGTGTGTCACTTTGTGTCTGTGAGTGTGGGTCTCTCTCTCGCTCTCTCTCTCTGGATCTGTGTGTAGTGCCGGGATCTGAGAGCTCCTGTAGTCTTGCTGGTGTTTTGTTAAAGGAGCAATTCATTTTTTTTTTGAACAATCTAATGTGTTACTTCCTCATGTTTAGTTTTAATCAATAATGTGAAAAAAATGTAGGTTGGCAGTAAAATGTACGTCAATAGCACCAATCAACTCCCCACCATTTTCTGCGAAATCCGTCAAAAATGTGCCCTCAAGTTTGGGGCAAATATTTCCGTATTTTTCGATTGGCCCAGGATGTAAACCCTCCCTCTCCTCTTCTCTTCTGCCATATTTTCCAGCTGTTTACTTAGCGCTCTGGAATCTCCTTTTATCTCCTGTCCCATGGGGAGCACACCAGTAAAAGTTATTGCAAACCATGTGGGCGAGCCTGAACACAGTAGTCTAATCAAGTTAATATAAAGCAGACTTTTGTAAGTCACCTGAAGAGGCTTCAAAACTGTGTGTGGACCTGCCAAAAGTTACAGGAAGAAAGCTAATGGACAAGCTTCTCAAGTGTTTATCACATCACTTTAGTGTCAACGTTAACTTTAACGCAACACATACAAGGTTTTCTAAACTCACTAGAACTACAGCAACCACTCAGTTCTCTACCAAACAGCACAAAGAGGGCACAGGTTCTAAATTTCTAAAGGGCAATTTTTAGACAACAGGAAGCATTTCTTTACAGTTACCAGGAAGGGCGAGTGGGGCCAGACTGTTAAGACCCACTTACAATAAAATAATTCTTGAATTTGATAACTGTGCCATATCAGGTTGTTGAGACGTTTTAAAGCGCTTTACAGAATATACTGTAAAGTGAATTAACTGAATATTTGATGGGCGAAACACAGCAGCCAATTGTGCACAGCAGCGTCCCACAAACAGTCGTGGATTGAGTAACCACATTAGTATTATTTTTACTCAATTAAGAAACTGCGCAACTCTGTCATGAAAACATTGCAAGGAGAGTTTTGTGAAAAGAGGAGATCAAATTGGCGGAAAGGGCTATCTTCAGTCAAGTCTATCTTGTGAATGAAGACCGTCAGTTTAAGGCACGCATAATTACAAGCTGCTTTATTGAATTTCCATACGCCCACAAGGTCATTTAAAAAGAAGGAAAACTTACTATATCCAGCATGTCTGTGGTGTGAGCGGCAGACACACAGAACCGAGCTCGCGATTCGATAATAGGAGTGGCCGGAAACCCCACTACAACCACGCCAATGTTTCTTTTCAGCATCTCTCGCCCAAAAGCACTGTGGAAATGAAAGAAAAAACAAAGAACTCAACTTCAACTCACGTAACACAAACAAGGCACATGTAGAGAGCTGGGAGGGAGCAAAAAAACAACAGATGAGAGCAAGAGCTTAAGATCAGTTTGCAGTTTTTAAGGAATTCTCTTGCCTTGCGGATAAGACTTGGCTGAGACTCTCGTTGACAGAGAGGGGCATGATCAGAGGCTGTGGATATTGGATCTATTCAAATTTTCAAGACCAAGGTGGATAGATATTTGTTAGGCCAGGGTATGAAGGGATATGGGGCAAAGGCAGGTATTTGGAGTTGAGGTACAGATCAGTCATGATCTAATAGAATAGCAGAACAGGCTCAAAGGGGCTGAATGGCCTCCTCCTGTTCCTATGTACATTTGTTCAAAGATCCGCCACTCCTCAAGGGCGAAAGGAAATGCTGGAGCTGGGATGGGCTGACGGAGGCTCAGTGAAGGATTGGGATCTGGCCTTGTACATTCTGTGGGACACTTTGTTCTCGTTTGTTATTGCGTGGCTCAGTATCGGTTCCCGGGAGCTACGCGGGGCTATCTGTGCCACAGACCAGAGCAAACATCTTTAACTCACCATTTTGGTGGGTTTTTTTTCCCTTTTTTTTAAAAAAAAGACAGCTTAAAACCTGAACTTGCAACTACAAAGCCCAAGAAATGTGTTTCTAACTTACCCAATTTTGGCTGGCATATACAGCATCAAAGGCACCACAGGTGAATCATCGTTTCCATAGATAATGAATCCCATTTCCTTCAATCTTCTTCTGAAGTATCTTGTGTTCTCTGCAAGCTGCTGAACACGGCCTTGACCTAAAACACATTAAAGAAACGTTTGTGATTTAAAACCACAGGTGTAGCCCGACTGAACAGTAAAATACAGGACACGCCACTGGTGACACGAAGCAGATTCCATGTACAGTATTACACAAAACAGATGGCCGCGACTTTGTTTGAAGGCTGCAACAAAAAAAGTCTTCCGACTGTGTAAATGTGCTCCAAACTTCACACCAGAACCTCGATATTAAACCCACAGATGCGTTCAAGCATTTCCAATGAAAATTGGATAGGAGCAATTTGTGGGATCTGGATCACGCACATCATTCACCTTTCAGAAACAAAACACTGAACTTTAACCACAATCAAAGGCATGGTAGATAAAGAGGGCTCACTACAAAGTGGGGGGAAGGGGGTTGCGGTCGATGGGTGGGTGGTGGTGGTGGATGGTGGTGGTGTTGGGGAGAGAGGAAAGAGACATTAAGAGGGAAAAAAGATTAACTTGGAAAGGTTTGACCATGAGGAAATCAAATATCCTCAAGTTAACGGTCACCTCTATTCAAGCTTCCCTACAAACAGTTCCAACACCATTTCCCTGTCAAGCTCTTCTTCACCCTGTGATGTGTGCGTGGGCGCTAAACCAAATCCATGAAGGTCTCACAATTAGATTGGATCTCATAATTATCATCAATGGCCATTTTCAGGGATTTTAAAAAACTATTTTCCACAGGGTTCTTATCTCTTCTCCCCCCCCGCCCCCCGCCCTGGCCCCCACCCACTAACAAGCCTTCCAGGTGTGATTCCTGCTCAATCAGTCAGGGAATCTCTTTGACCGTGTGTGTGGCCGACAGCCTCACACTTTCCCTCCTTTCGTCCCCGCACACTGATGCCATACATGCCTGCAGTCATTCTTTGAGCAATTCACCCTGCGTGAAAGACACTATACGAATGCAAGTTGTCGTTCTTGTAAGAGCACTATAATTCACTTCAGTGTCCCCTGCTAGGGGGAGGAAAACAAACAGGGTCTGCACTCCTCATAACTATCCAGTGACCTCTGCTGGAGACTATTTGAAATCGAGACTTCATTGAGGGTCATGACCCACAGAGTATTACCCCAACAGAAAGGTTGGTAGTGAAACAAGATATGGCAAATGGTAGTTAGCTGGTGCCAAGGGGCTTTGTTGTTATAAAGAGTTAGATTAGAGAAGGAGATGAGTTGCATCAAGGCGTGGTTCTGGTAAGGAATGAGCTTGGAAGGACAAAAAAAAACAATGCATGTCGAGCAACACCGACACACAGACAGAACAATGTTGAATGCTGCCACTCAGACCAGCAATGCACTTTTCCTCTCTGAGCAAACGACTTGAAACATTCACTGTTTTAAGCGTACCGCAGCAACTAAAAGCATTTCAATTTTGCACGCCAGAGAAGGAACCAGAGCACAAATCTGTTTTGAGATTCCTAGATCGAACGGTAGAAAGAGTACGTTTGGTTTGCAACACTTTGATTTGTGGTTTGCGATTAGAACCTTGGAAATTCATAGCACTTAAGCTAATGCATTGGTCACTGCTTTACAATGCTCAGTCTGGATCGTAGGAGGCTTAACACATTCTATGGTGAAAATTGAAGTGTTTTTATATAATAATCCTTGCATTTGATATAGCGCCTCATCACGTCTTTGAGATGTCTTAAAGCGCTTATCAGAATATACTGTGAAGAGAACTGAGGGTATATATAAATTACATTGTATACAGGATATATATCTTACCGAAGACATCTGTAGAAAAACTGCTGAGTGTTTATCTTAAACATTACCACATAAAGTTCGGTCAATGACCCTTCACATCCACTGCATTCAAATGGCTGAAAACCTCCGCGATCTCAGCAACCAAACCCCCAATTATTTAGAAAGTTGTTGCTTCCGCGAAAATGGACGGTAGAAACGAGAAAGAAAAGGAACGATAAACCTTTGCTAAATACAAAAGGAGGAAATTTTATTGCAACATTGTCATGAAGAGTTTAATGAGGAAATCTTAGGCAAGTTTCCTTACTCCACACGCCTCGGTCTACCGAGCGGTAAGTAGCAACCCGGTTGTAAGTCGACTGGCGGATCGCTTTTCCGGGGGTAATAATTCCCTTCAAAGTAAATAATAATTTGGTCATTCAATCCATGAATGTCTGTGGGACACTGCTGTGCGCAATTGGCTGCCGTGTTTCACCCACAAAATACAGACTTTACAATATGATCCGTGAAGCGCCTCGCGCCATCTCGACGACTTGATAAGATGCTATATTATTGTTATTATGCTCAAGGGTAGACCTATATTTGAGACAGGGAACACAAGTACTTTTACGCAGTAAATGGATAGCTCGTAAACATTCGCAGGGGGAAAAAAAATCACGAGAGCTCGCTGCTGAACGCAGGGGGCTCCTGCAAAAGCAATTTAAAGTCTCCAACTCCGTTGGATGGCAGCTCAGTTTTAATTAAGCGATTCGATTGCGCAATTGTATTGTCAAACAGATGCTCACACCCTGGCGCCAATAACCTGTATTGTGGTCGTATCATTTTCAACTTCCCACACACCTCGATCAGGTTTAGTTACTTCTCTGAGTGCAGTCAGCGGGTTTAAAGTGCCGTTTTCTCTCAGCCGTTAGTACGTGGAGTCCTGTAGCGAAGTGGTTAGCTATAATCCTTACATTTCATATAGCGCCTTTCATGCCGTCTCAGAGCCTCTCCGCAGGATACACTTTAAAGTGTAGTGTCTGTATTTTGTAGGAGAAGGTAGATGGTGCTGCAACAAAGGATTTTTTTCTTTTTCCCCAATAATATTAAGATGAACTACCATAGAATTGGAGTCCTGCAGAATAGTGGATAGAGCACTCGCCTCGCATGCGAGAGGACCTGGGCTCATTTCCCAGGCTGAAGGGGGGGCGCAAAACCTTAAGCAAGTTTCCTTACTCCACACTGCTCTGTTGACCTAGCAATAAGTAGGAACCTGGTTGTTAGTCAATTGGCGGATTGCTTTCTGGGGGGGTAATAATCCCTAAAGCAAAGTCACGCAATCCATGACGGTTTATTGGACACAGCCATGTGCACTGGTTGCTGCATTTTGCCCACAAGGTATTCTGTGAAGCGCTTTGAGACGTCTCAACGAAGTGATGATGTGCTACATCAAATGCAAGGATTATTATTATTATTATGTTCAACCTAAACGGGAGCAGAATCAAATGTTTCTACATCACACCTATAGACTAGCTCCAATTTGTATACACGGACAGCGTACAGAATGCATTACAGTGCCGTAACAATACAGATGGCAAACTTGATCAAAGCTCAAGTCAAACTCAAGCCAGATCCTTTTAAACGTTCCAACCAGCTTCATAGGTACAGACGGAATTCATGGAAACAGTTCAAGCCTTACACATGCTTTCACCTCGCTTGGCTTTCCCTCATCTCTGCGGCATTGCCCACCTCCGGCAATATATTTCTGTGTATCTGCTTCATCATTGGTTTCAGACTTCAGCCGTTCCACTTCCATCCACTGGAGCTCCACTGTGGAGTCCAACTTCCTTCAAAACCCACCTTAAGACCTTTAAGAGGTGCTGTTAGTCACCTTTTGCCAAAATAAAACTTCCTGAAGAAAGACCAGGCGTAAATTTCACCTGTACCCTTTCCACAGCTCAGTCTGTGATTACTCTGAGTAGACTTGGGGCACATGTCGCCCCTACCAGGCTGCTTGAAGATTGCTCCTAACTCGACTTCAAGATCCTCTCACTCGTTTTTCAAATCCCTTTGTGCGCCCGCTCCTCCCTATCTCTCAGACCCGGTTACCCCCCACCCACCCACTGCCTCTGCTCAGCTGGTTTCAGCCTCCGATCCACCATCGGTGGCCGTGCCTTCAGCCACTACGCCCCGAAAATCTGGAACTCTCTCCCTCAATCCTTCACCCTCACTCACCACCATCAAATCCTGCCTAAAGATGTTCCTTTTTGATCGTGCTTACGGTCACCTCCCACCTCCCTCTCCCCCCTGGTTCGGTGTCAGACTCTATCATTATCAAGCACTCCGGGACACTACCCCACGTTTAGGGCGCTGTGTAAATGCAAGTTCTTGTTGTACCTTAAACAGCAAGTCAGTTTTTAGGTCATTTCTACTCTGGAATTTTATTTAGTTACTGCTCTTTGAATTCTGCGGAATTTCGAACAAACTATTCAGTGTTAACCATATCACAAGGAACTCATTAACGGTCTATGCATATTTTTTTGGAAAAGAATGGGCTTTGGAGGAATTTATTATGTGGACTTTGGAATGCATCAAGTGTAATAAGCTCAGAATAATTTGCTGCAGTATTCTCTGTATTCCAGAGGAAGACGTTTATAAAATGAAAACTATGCGCTTGGACACTATTCATGGCAGAATTTCACTCGAAACAAAGCAAACAAGTTCCTAAGAAACTTAACAGCTTGTGGGGTCTCCATACTAGCATCTGATATAGTCCCTCATCATGCCAAAACCTCTCAACAACAACTTACATTTATATAGCACCACTCAGGCTGGGTAGCCTCCCAGAGCCCTTTACGGTGCACTGGTTTCACATACAGGACTTAAGTGGAGTCCTGTAGCTCAGTGGTTAGAGCACTCGCTTTGCAAGTGAGAGACCTGAGTTCAATTCCAGGCAGAGGGCGAAACCTTGGGCAAGTTTCCTTACTCCACACAGAGCCTAATAATAATCCCTCCAAAAACAAAAACAATAATTAAATTGGTCATTTTCAATCTACGACTGTTTGTGGGACATTGCTGTGCGCAATTGGCTGCCGCGTTCGCCCACAAATATACAGTCAATTCACTTTACAGTGTGTTCTGTGAAGCGCTTTGGGACGTCCTCCCGACGTGAAAAGCGCTATATCAAATGCAAGGATTATTATTATTATTATTATTATAAGTAGGAACTTACCCACCAACACTCCAGGATGGTTGAGGTGCAACACTCACTTTCACCAAGAAAGGTCCTAGAGGCTGTGGTTAGACTAAGTTA